TCCTTTGCCTACACTCAGAATGAGGGAAACTAAAAATGTTTGTCTGAAGCATTTTATTTCCGTCCTTAGTTTTTCCAAGTCTAGGTGATCCAAATCCTTAGAAACTTCCCTTCATTTGTGCCCAAGGCTTCCACTCACTGTCTCATCAGCCTCCAACCTTGCTTCTTTGCTCCTCTTTCCTCCTTACAGTTCTCCTTTATCAGTCAGAATGATTGTCCAGAAGTCCTAAAGCCCTGAGCGGGTCCTTCCCAGATTCACGGATGGGCAGATCTGTAGCCCTCCTTCTACATTTGTAGACAAGATAAAAGATGTTTGGTTTGTTTGCTACTAGGAAAAGATCTTCCAGGACCCTTCTGAAACTGTGATTTTAGCCTTCTGTTATTATTCTCTGGGAAGCTGCAGACTCACACCTCCAGTGGGGAGTCCAACCCAGGTGCTTAATTAGCAAAGCAAATTGAACTCTAAGGAGCCAGCATCCCTAGTTGCTGGGTGAATTCCTGTGTGACCTGCCACTCAGCTGACAGGAGGGAGGGATGATGCTGAGGTGCCTGGGCCTTGATGCTGGAACCTGGAGCATGATGGCTCCTTTCACAACTGACTGCCCTCAGCTCTCTCCTTGCCCTTCTGTGACCATGGCTGCCTCCCAGGCCTTCTTGCACATTCTACCCACTCTCCCTCCAGGACCTGTTATTATTCTTTCCCGACACACAAACACCACAAGGCAAAATCCTCCACTCACGCTATTCAACAAAATCATAACCCTCCCTCCCATAAGCATAGGCCTGTCCAGTTGACAAAGCACGTTCTCAACAGTGACTTGTTGCTTTTTCCCTGGCAGCATCATAAGGTAGATATAATTACCATCCACACTGGCAGATATAGAGATGGAAGCTGGGGTAAGGGGTCAGTGGGTTGCAGGGCTGGAACCAGAATTTGGATCTTCGAGCTCCACACCCAGGTGCCTTCTGCTCTACTCCTCGGAGACTAGAGATCTGGATGATATCTCCCACAGAGCAGGAGGTTTGGGTGACTACACCCAGACTCAGTTTCTCTAAGCCTTCTTGCTGTCGTGGGCAGCTGTGGCCAGACTCAGAACCACCGGGTATGAGATAATCAGGCCTGCTTGCTGTCTGTTCCCATCAGCAACAATAGGCCAATTAAGGCAATTACTGCTGGTTTATACAACAGGACATAGGGATTACAGTGTTCAACTCTTAGAGAATCTATAAAAGGGCTAATAATGCATTAATGTATCAATCCCTTTAATCCTGTCAAATTACCACACAGTTGTTCCATGGAGCTGACAGTGGCTTTCTGCTGGTCCTGCTCACAGCTGGGGGTTTCTTTTCTATCCCTAACACTCGCCCTGCAGCTCTGAGGGGCTGCAAGGATAGGAAAGGCATAGGTGACCTCCATAGAGAAGGGAGGATTCTTTCACAGGAAGAATGAAATGTTATGTGGAGAGTGTTTCTTCTGTAAGGACAGATCGACGTGACCCGGTCTATACTAGTATTACAGGTGTGGATCTGAGTCTGGAGGACACCTGCTGAGAATTCCAGGTTCCTGTGTCCAGGAGCAAAGAACTAGATCAGGAACATATGTTTAGTGATAGAAATAAAGACGGTTTATTAAGGAAGAGAAAGACACTTCCCAAAATGGAAATGGGCTAGAGAGCAAGGACTCCAAAGTCCTATACCATGTGCGTGCTGATCTTTTACAGGTCGTTGACATCCACCTTCTCATAGACTTTTTATTATGCATGGTCTGCTGATTAGTTTTTGTCAGCTGGACACAAACTAGAGATACCTGGGAAGAGGAAACTGCAACAGAGGCATTTCCTCCATCAGGCTGGCCAGTGGGTGTGTCTGTGAGCCATTTTCTCTATGACCAACTGATGTGGGAGGGCCCAGCCCATTGTAGATGGTGCTATCCCTGGGAAGGTGGGTCTGGGATGTATAAGAGAAGTAGCTGAGAAGCCAAAATCAAGCGGCATTCTTCCATGATCTCTGTTTCAGGTCCTGCCTTCCAGTGTTTTATCACAGCAGCAGAAACCAAACTAGGACCTGTGTTGTTTTATTACATGTAGCCCTGGTGGGAACAGGTTTCAGTTTTTCCTCTGCCAACTGGCTTCTTATCTATATCTATATTGTGATAACTTTTTCCACCCCATTCTGCTGACACACTAGACTATGATTATGTATGTATGTATGTATGTATGTATGTATGACTATGTATGTATGAAAAGGTTGATCCCTAGCTGGTAGCACTATTTTGAGAGGTTTTGGAAGCTTTGAGTGGTAGGGCCCAGTGGGAGGAAATAAGTCATGGTGGGGCAGGTTCTTAGGTGTATATTGTCCCTGTCCCCAATCCCTTCCTGTCTGCTTTCTGCTTCCTGATTGACTGAGAAGTGAACATCTCTCTACTACCATGTGTTCCAGCTGCCATGAGATTATGTCCAACATGGGACTAAGTAATCACAGACTGGGCCTTCTGAAACTGTGAGCCAACATAAACTTTTCTTATCTTCAGCCGTCAGTATCAGATGTTTGTCAGTATCAGATGTTTTGGTCACAGCATTGAAAAAAAATCTAATATCCTGCCATTCTCTGTGTGATTTCAGGCTACTTGCCCAAAATCTCTGAGTTTCCATGTCCTCACATATAAGATGTGGATACAATACCTCATTTTTAGAATTTTCAGGAAGATTCTATAACTGCTGGTAAATGCCAGGTTCATGGAAGGCATTTAAGAGCTCTCCAGCCCCTTTGCTGTCTCTAAAGTGGCATAAGAATTCTCACCAGAGAGGCTGGGCGTGGTGGCACATGCCTTAAATCCCAGCACCTCTGTGAGATCGAAGCCAGCCTGGTCTACATAGTGAGTTCCAGGACAGCTGGGGCTACAGGGAGACCCTGTCTCAAAAAGACCAGAAGGACGAATAGTAATAATAATAATAATAATAATAATAATAATAGTAAGAATGATAATAATAATAAAATCATGTACGTCAATTTCCTGGCATGCAGTAGGGAGAAACATTAGTTCTTGCTCATTCGTATTCATTCTCTTTTGTTGTTGTTTGATAAAAATACTGCCTGCAATTCAAGAGAGTTTAGAAGAGACATATCAGAATAGGCAGAGGTGGGGCTGGTAAGGGGCAGAATACCTAGGCATGGATCTCTGATAGACTCTAAGTGGCTGGGGTACCTCTGATTTTAGGAGGCTCTAGTCAGGCCTGGTCTTGCTGTCCTGCCAAGCCCTTCAGAGTCCCTTTAGTAGATGGTGGGTTAGGCCACATAGAATTTCCTGTTGTTTTTATGATATCAGTCTTGGGTGGCTACCTCTGTGGGCATCTGCAGTGTCTCTTCTTGGGGAGGCCATGTGTTCATACACGGGCAGGCTACTCTTTGGAGCTGGAATTAGGAGGGAAGAAACTACAGTGTCGTCCCTGTCCCCGCTCAGTTCTGAGAGCTTGCCGTTGTCTGAAGATCAGCTGCTTGTGTGTGTGTGTGTGTGTGTGTGTGTGTGTGTGTGTGTGTGTGCGTGTGTTTCTATCCCTAGCAAGAATTACATTGACCAGTCGGGGAAGGATAGGGTATTATTTTCCTCTAAGGACACAAATTTATTGCCACTCTCCCCAATAGGTGGAGCCCCAGGTTCATCCCCTTGAGAGTGGGTTGAACTTAACTTATTGGCTTGATTCTAATGACTAGAATGTGGCAGGTGTGATTGCTTATGCTGGTGTAGGCCCTGAGAAAAAAGTATTTGGTCTCCTTCTTACTCTCTCTGGGCACTCTTAGGGAAGCCAGCTCTATAGTGTGAAGATATTTACAGAGCTTGCTGGAGAGGCCCACATGGTCAGACACTGAGACCTCCTGCCAACCACCATGTGAAGGCACCATCTTAGAAGCAGATGTTCTAGCCCCAGCCAGCCTGTGGAGGACTGCAGTTAGCACCTTGGTGGTAGCCTGTGGAGAGACCAAGCCATGACCAAAGCTGCTTCTGATTCTCAATCCATAGAATCCTTGTGAGATAACAAAATTCTTGTTGCAATTTTTAAATACTACATTTGGGACATAATGTTATACAATGGGTGACTAGCATAATTAACAGTGAAAACATAATTAGTCTCAATAAGCGAGCTTTATTGTGTATGTATGTGTGTGTGTGTGTGTGTGTGTGTGTGTATGTGTGTGTGTATGCAAGAATGGTAAACTGTGCTCATATGCTCAGTACCCATTTATTAAAGCTGAGTAGGGGTGGGTAAAGGTGGGAAATCACAATCCCAAAGTCTAGGAGGTCCATTTGAGAAGGTGATTTCAATGTAGGACATGGAGAGACCAGAGAACCTAAGGGCTATTAAGGGACCCAAGATGCAGCCTGGCTTTGAGACCAGGGACAGATTTCTGGAGGTGGTGACAGCTGAGGTGGGGCTCCCAGGATGAGTAGGAATAAGTGTGTCTAAGAGGAAACCAGGGGAGCATGTGTCAGATGCAGGGAACTGCTTGTGCAAAGGCCCAGGGGACAGCATGAGTTTATTGTCTTCCAGAAATATAAGTTGGTTTGGTGCAGTCAAAGCTTGTATGTGTGTGTGTGTATGTGTGTGTGTGTGTACGTTCTTGCACAAGTACATGGAGGAGAGAAAGGTGGTCAAAGCTTAGATGTATCTGCATTCATGTGTGTGTATCTGTGTATGTATGTGTGCACATGCCCAGGTTTGTGTGTACTTGTATGTATGTGCAATGCAGGGAGAGAGTAGGCAGGAGGGATTTTGACAAGAGATACAGACGAAAGAGAAAAACTAGTTCAAATCTTAGACTGACGTGTTAACAGCAGCCATGTGCTATTGGACAAGTCACAGCACCTCCATGAGTATAGCCTCTTTCTAAGGTGTGAGTCATTTGGTGGAGATCTTAGCCAGGCTCTGGGCTAAATGTGGAGACATGCTATTGGTGACCAGAACAGCAAGCCTTGCTATCTAGAGGCCTACAGTCCAGCACAGTCCTTATTCTGTGAGAGGCTGCAGCACCAAGTGCTCTAGCTGACACTGTCCTGAGGCTATGCTGAATCCTCTTTTCTCATCTCTAGGACCTAAGGTAAGCCTCTGAGAGTTTTGCTAACTGTCAAGTGGCATCCAATAGCAGCAGTTTGAATTTTGAATTGCTCAGTAGGTTGATGTAATCTTTAATGTTTGTTAGAATACTTTGGTACATGTAAAATCCTGGGTACTCACTTGAACTCTGAAAACTGATTGCTGGGTTCAAGTCCCAATTCTGTTGCTTAGCAGCTAGCTTAATGATGCTGGGAAAGGAGTTGGAGATGTGGCTCTGTGGTTAGGAGCACTTACTCCTTTAGCAGAGGACCCTGGTTCAGCTCCCAGCATCCACATGGCAGCTCATAGCTACCTGTAATTCCAGTTCCAGGGACTTGACTATGACACCTTCTTCTGGTCTCTGTGGGCTCCTGCACACAGGTGATATACATGAACTCACATAGGTAACTACACATACACATCAACATGTCAATAAGATAAATAAATGATGTTTGGCAAAACCTAATCTCTTTTCTCTCTCTCTCTCTCTCTCTCTCTCTCTCTCTCTCTCTCTCTCTCTCTCCACAAGTGTGTACATATAAGCATATGGAAGTCAGAGGACAATCTCAGGTATGTTCTTCATATGCTTTCCACCTTTAAAAAATACAGGATCTCTCTTTGGCCTAGAACTTGCCAAGCAGGCTAGACTGGCTGGCCAGTAAGCACCAAGGAGGGGCCTATCTTTGCCACCCCAGAGCTGGGATTGAAAGAAGAGCTCACCACCACACCCAGCTCTTAGTACTGTTGCTTCTGGGGGTTAAACTCATGTCCTCACACTTTACTTAAGACTGAGCTCTCTCCCCAACAGGATTCTCAATTTTCTTTATATTCAAAATGGGAATATTAGGACCCAGCTCAAAAGTTTGCTGGAACTGTCAAGTGGGCTAACACACGTGAGGTGTTCAGAATGAGGTCTAGCACTCAGTAAGTGCTACACACGTGTAAATTGTTCGGTTTTCTGGGGCTATGATACACTTTGCAGTGACAGGTATAGCAGCAGGTATTGGTGGGTAGGCTCTAAATTCACCCTTAGAGGGACATACAGCTTTTTGCCTTAGGTCTTCACTCATGGAGTGATTCTAACCATGTCCCATTGGCCCTCTCCAGGGCTGCTGCTTTGTATTGTGTAGGAAACCCAGAATGCAGTGCGGCACAGAGCCAATCCCACACCACTTGACGTCAGCTTTGCCTCCCCGGATTCTCTTCTGCCCAGCAACAAGGACTCCTGGTTGTGTACCGGGTCAGTGGGCCGGGCTGGGAAGGAGTGAGCCACAGAGAGCAGGAGGTGGCCAGTCTCTCCTGCCCCCTGCCATCAGTGGGCTGGAAGACTCAGACAGACCCTCAGCTTAATTGGCAAATGGATTCTCGAGGGGTAATTTTGTTGATGTGCGCTGTGGGAGGGTCTGCAGGCCCTAATGACGGGCTCAGCCTGCTAAATGTGTTTACCAAAAAATAAGGTTATTTATTTCACAGATACTTTTTCCCGTTGCCATCAGCCTATTAATGCGAGTTTTATGTAACAGGACAAACAGATCACAGTGCAAAGTCTTTTGAAAATCCCCCGTGAATGCTGTAATAATGCTTTAATGTATTAATCCTCCTAATCCTGTCAAACTTCTAGAAGAATTTCAGGACTGCTGACAGGAGCTCTGGCTCTCTGCGCCAGAGAAAGAGGTCTCCTGAGCCCTGAAACAGAGCTGGTAAAGTGGACCTGGGATCACTGGTGCCGAGCACACCTTTCCCCGCCCCCTTCTCAATCTCTGTCTTCTATGTACTGAGGTAAGCACTGTATTTCATTCAGTCTCCACAGCAGCCCGGTGAAGCAGGAACTGCTGTTCTCTTCAAGTTTCAGACGGGAGTAGCCTGTCCCCACTGCAGGCAGCTGGCGGAGAGAGGCTGAGTTTAAAGCTTGTTGTGACTCAGAAACCCAAGCTACCTCTGCATAGGCCAGAAAAGCAACATTTTTGGCTCTTCAGGGCAAATACTCTAAGCATTCAACTCTCTGTCATCATGAAACCTCCAGAAGCCACACATAAGCAAACAGGTGTGGCCGTGTTCCAATAAAATTGTATTTGCAAAAACAAAAGATGATCCTTCCTGGGGATGTGAATGTAGTTAATAGTTGCTGATAGGAGGGAGGGGGGAGGCATTTTCTTCAACGACACCCCATCGTTAGTAAGGTGCCCCTATTCCTGTAAATAACCCTGCACACACTCATTGCATCATCAGAATAAAGAAAGAAGGAAGGAAGGAAGGAAGGAAGGAAGGAAGGAAGGAAGGAAGGAAAGAAAAAGACACGGAAGAGGAACTGATGGTTGGGAAGGGCAAATGGATCAATGGGAATGAGGGGACAAGAAAGGGTCATGGGTGATATGATCAGAATACATTCTTCATGTTTGAAAGTGTCACAATGAAATCCATTATCATATATAATTAATATATGTTAAGAAAACAACAAAACAATGGGGGCTGGGGAGGTGGCTCAGTGGTCAAGAGTACTGGCTGCTCTCGCAAAGGACCAAGGTTTGAATCCCAGTACCACATGGCAGCTAACAACCATCTGTAACTCCATCTCCAGGGGATCTGATGCCCTCTTCTGACCTCCCTGGGCACTGCATGATATGGGTGCACTTACATACAGATAGGCATAGCTCTCATACACATAAAATAAAAATAAGTAGATAAAAATTTAAAAGAAAACAACAAAACAAAAAAAAAGGTGGGTTGGTCCATCCCTGTATTAAGAATTAATAGAGGGCCAGGATGTGGCTCAGTTGTGCATGTCCTAGCATGCACAAAGCCATCTCTGTCACCTCATAAACCAGGTATGGTGGCATATATTTGTAGTTCCAGCACTGGGGAGCTGGAGGTGCGAGGATCAGAAGTTTAAGATCATTCTCAGGTACATAGTGAGGGGGAGGTCCAGGTCATCCTGAGCTACATGAAGTCTAGTCAGAGAGAGAGATAGGGGAGAGAGAGTGAGAGTGAGCAAGCAAGAGAGAAAAAGAGAGAGAGGAAGGAGGAAGAGGATGAAGAGGAGGAGGAGGGGGAATGGTTCATTTTATGGGTCAGTAAGGTCGAGGGTGAACTTTCTTGGGTAACATCTACTTCTCTTAAACTCACTTGCAGGGACTAATGCCAGAGAGGAGGCTGGCAAGAGCCAAAGGATGGCTGGATCAAAAACCACACTCTTTCTTTGTATGTTTTTCAGGTTTTGATCATTGTAACAAAATGCTCAGGAAGACTACTTGAAGGAGGAAAGAATTATTTTGGCTCATGGTTTCAGAGGTTGTGGTTTATGGTCTTCTGGCCCCGTTGCTTCAGGTCTGAGATGAGGTGAAACATTGCAGTGGCAGAATCGTATAGTAGAGAAGGCTGCTCACTTGGCAGCCAGGAAGCAGAGATAGAGAAGAGACAGCATTAATTATATCCTTCAAAAGCACAGCTCCAGGGCTCATTTTCTCCTATCTGGGCTTACCTTCCAGTTTCTTTTACTTATCGACAGTCCATTTAATTACAATTCCCTCCATGGGTTCATCTGTTGATTAGGCCAAACACCCACATGGTCCATTCACATCTCAATGATTCTCTCCACCACCTGGCAACCAAGCCTTTAACACTGGAGCCACTTTAGGGAACACTTCATATGCAAACCATAACACCTGAGCTCTAGACTGTGTGGACAACACCTGGTTTGGGGCTGGTATGTGGACTGAAGTGTGTGGGATGGAGACTGCCTTGTTCTGTACATCTGGTAAAGTCCTTTCCCACTCTCAGCCACAGTCACGTCATGAATGAAATAAGACCTCTGATCTTACTGGTCTCAACAATTCTTCAAGATCTGAGATTCTCATTTGAGAAATGAGTCTCCAGCCTTTAATAACCTCAATCAAAGGAAGTACCCATTAGACCCATGTATGAAGAAGCCTTTGAAGGCAGGACCAACCTTTGTTTCTCCAAGGCACTTTATTTAAACAATTAAAGTAAGGTCCACTGATCGACACTAGATACTTAGCACACCAGAGGATAGTTTCTTCAGGTACCCAGACCTGTGGTCTGATTTTAATGTTTTCCTCTACTCACCTCCAGACATTGGCCCATAGAACACTTTTCTCCAGGTTTCTCCTGAACTCCTCCCCACTGTTCCAGTGCTGGGATTCAGGGACATGAATGCTCAGGGCTGTGGTTGGTAAAGGTGGTTGCCCATGAGCTCCCCAGTCCTGACCTCATCATCCACTCAGGGGCAAGCCTGCTCCAGCCATTAAACAAGCCAGATCCTATTACTCTCCTTTTAAAATATTTCTGAGCCTTCTGATGGTCCTTAGGATAAAGTCCAAGTTTCTGAAAAAGATCCTCCAGGCCCTCCAGGATTCACTTGTTTCCCATACTGTTTCTTTGAGATACTCCATCTTTCCTCCAGTGTACATTTCACCCAGAACATGAGCCTGCTGGGGCTCTTTACTATCTTCAGGGACAGGTCACGCCCTTGATACAGGCTCATGCCTCCCTCTTTGCCTCATTAACGTTTGCTTATTCTACACCTCCTTTCCCCCAAAGATTCTCCTCATCTTGTTACTGGTGAAGGGTGTTGCTGTGTGACTTCATGGGTCTACCAGGGGGGAGGGGAGACTTTATAAATCAGTTTTGTAATCATCTCTTTGAAAGCATGGGTTTCTGCAGCCAGACTACTGGTATCCTAAGATCAGCTCAGGTACCATGATATTCCCCAGAATCGATACCATGGGCAGGGAATATTGGCAGAGTGTTCAACAACAGTGGGCTGCCTTCCAGGTCCATTCCATGCAACATCTCCGACCCTCGGCCAGGACTTTGAGCTAGCTCTGATTGAATAGGAGGTAACACAGACTTTTATATTACACCCACAGCCTACAGTCACACAGCCTAAAAGAAAGACAGAGACATAAATCGAGTCTGGTCATCTGCCTCTGTGCCCAGTTCTTCCCAACTTACACCATGTTATCTTGATTCAACCAAGTTGGTACTGTTATTCCCCTTGATTTCAAAGTATTTTATAGCTCTATACTAGGCGGAGAGAAATGACATACTTCAGACTTCAAAGCCACACAGTTTAGAAATTGCACGACTGGGCCAGGTGCCTCCTGCCCTCTGTTTTTCAACCTGCCACACCACATTGCTAGCCACAGTCTCCAGGACCAGATTCTGCTCCAAGTAGGCATCTGGATGCTCTGATTGGTATCCTGTTTTCTAAGTGAATTTGGGTCTCGCCTGGGGTATCTTCATTCCCCCACCCCCACCTTCTGGAAGAAGAGACATGAGAATTATGGGAAGAAAGAAAATGTATTTTTAGAACATATGAATAAGAATACTTTAGATGATGCCTTCTGTGGGAAAAAGCAATTTTCCCGTTATGGATTTTCCTCTTTCTCTGGGAAGCTCCTGATCTCACAACGTGAAGACACTCTCTTAAGGGAGGCCAGGGCTTGAACAACTCGGGCCGGGTTTGTCTTCCAGATAAATGGAGGTTCTCATCTCTTGGCCCAGCAACTCTGCAAGGTGGCTTTGTTGGCTCTTTGCTTTCTGTCCATGATGAGTATGTTCAGGAAGTACAGGGTCTTCTTTAGAGGGAGGCAGACAGCGGTTTTAGAAGGTGTGATGCTAGGAACAGGTGTACCCCTGTGTGAGTCTATTAGGTCTGTTATAACTAAGAATCACAGATGGAGTGGCTTACACCACAGAGATGTGTTATCTCACAGTCCTGGAGGCTAGAAGTCAGAGATCAAAGTTCTAGATTAGGTACTTGTGAGAGCTATGACAAAGAATCTTTTCTATGCCTCTCTACCACCTTCTGATGGCTTGCTGACAACCTTTGTCATTCCTTGGTGTGAAGAAGCATCAATCTTATCTCTACCTTTATCACAGCTGATGTCTTTCCCAATCTTTCCTTTTATGAAGATTCTAGATGTAGTGAATAAGAGGCCCATACATACCAAGAGCTGAGGGGGGCTCAAAGGTGAGTAACCTGCCCTTATCTCCATGTGGAGAGTTGGAGCAGTCCATGCAGTGGGAACAATGTGAATTAAAGCCAAGATATACGATGATGTGTGTGCATGTTCAGGGAATGGCAGAACATTCATTGTGGCTGCAGTGTCACCCTGTGTCCATATAAGGGATGGGCAGCGAGTGGAGGAGGAGCAGATGGAAGAGTCACAGGAGGTGACTCATTCACCATTCTCTCATTCAGCAAATTATACAGCAATTCATATGTCCACGGTTGATAGGGACTGCCTTGTGACCTGCCCCTCCCCTAATTTTTATGTTAAAGTCCTAACTCTCAGTATTTAGTATGTGTTTTATTTAGAGATGGAGCATCAGTGATACAGTTAGTCAAAACAAGGTCATGCTAGAGTCATGTGGGCTGGACAGGGTAAGCCATGTGCCCATGTTTATGCAATCAGTGGGTAGTGGATCCTGGAGAGGGTTCCATTTCTAAATACAAAGTCCTCTTCAGGAAGAAAGGCAGTCCTGGGACCATCCAAAGCCTGAAGGGTGGTATAAAGGACATCCTGTAGGAGCAGGACTGGGATGAGGGTTGGAGTCAAAAGATAGGGCCAATGAAGACAACGAGGACCCCTTATTAGAACTAGGAAAGCCTCTTCTTGCATATGTAGGAGCTGAAGGAGGGTGGCAGTGAGACTAGTTGTGGGAAGTTAAGAGCCAGAGGCATACATCCATGAACACTGAGCATTCTGAGGGAACAAAGGCCCAGAGAGGATAAGTGTCCTGCTTAGCATCACACACCTAGAACCTGATAAAAGGTAGATTCAAATTGAGAGCCGTCTGACCTCTGCAGCTGTTTTCTGGAGCCTTAATGCCCCCTACCACATTTTCTGTGACTGAAGAGTGTCTCTTAAAGGACTCCCCCTGCCCTTCCAGGTCTTATAGTTTAGGGACAAATCCTCAGGAGTCACCCTGGCAGTCATGATTGAAGGGTCCCCTGTTCCAGTGCTGGCCTCCAGCATAATTCTCTCAAGCTCCATGCATGTTTTCATCCTTACCCCCTGTCCC